CCAAAGCGATATTATAGCCGATTACATTGTATCCTGTGTATTCTATGTAAATGTCATGTTTGCACTTTTGAATTTCCCGCCGGCTCCGCCCCTGCTGTGAGGCACGAAAACTAAACTGAAAGCCGAATGCCGGCATCGGCCGGGCGAACACAGCAGAGGACACCGCAGGCTCGCAGGGACAAGGTAAGTGGCACTTTTGCGCAGTCCCAAATGTGGCTCGGGGTTACTGCTCTTGGTACTGAAAATTAACCCCGAGCCACACTCGGGAATACCGCCAGGGAGGTTAATAAGGGTGCAAGCATAGTATACATTAACACGATTAGGTAATCTTGTGCCATCTCATAACTAGTAGACATGTGCGATTCGTTTCGTTCCAAATCAAAATTCGGACGAATTTTCCTAAATTCGGACATTCAGGCACACATCCAAATTTCCGAATCCCAATGCATCCGAATGTGTCCAAATCCGAATTTCCGTTTTCCAAATTTCAGATCCTGTCCAAATTTCACTCAAACACTAAACTGAATCGGACGTGTGACTTTTCTGGCCAATCAAATGTGTTTTTCAGTTTAATGCATCCGAATGGGTTTGAATACGAATTTTCGTTACGGCAATATAGAGCAGACAAAATCTGGAGCAGCTGTGCATGGTGACCAATCAGCTTCTCTCTTTCATTTTCAAATCCTAACTGAACAAACTAAAGAGAGAATCTGATTGGTGGCTATGGGCAACTGCTCCAGATTTTGTCTGCTCCAGTTTTTATAATTTCCGCTCAGTATATACATATAATGTTAAATGAATGTTCCTGTGCCCACTTCTCCCCATTTTTTATTTTTATTTTTAACTTTTATTTCTGCTTTATCTTTCTACTTATTGAAGTGTGAACCAGCACCAAGTCTGCACTAGGCAACTGCTTTGTGTTGACTCTATAAATCCCTAGCCTTAAGCTAGCCATACACAGTTAGAACTTCATTAAAAAATCACTTTTTAAACATTCATTTGATGTTATAATAGTTTATGGGGACAAAACGAAATTTTTTTTTGATCGTAGTTAAAACAATTGAGGGTGCAGGTTGGAAATTTTTTCTCGCATCTCCGAACTAACAAAGTTCCAAGTGTTAATGTGGTCCTCAGTCAGGAAAAAATTTACTTTTTGTAATGCCCATGTGCTAAAAAAAGTTTAATCCACAATTAGAACATTTGTGGTCATGAACATTCGTTTCTTTAAATAATGTTCTATGGTATAGTGCTGTATGAAAGAACAATACAAAGAAAAGTTTCTGTATAGTTTATGCAAAATTCAGTGGAATATAAAATGTATATACTGTACATGTAGTACTGCCACTACAACCTCATGGGTTACTAAACATAATGGGGGAAGTTTATCAAAACAGGAGCAGACAAAATCTGGAGCAGCTGTGCATGGCAGCCAATCAGCTTCTCTCCTCAGTTTGTTCAGATAAGATTTGAAAATGAGAGAGAGGTGCTGATTGGTTGCCGAGCACAGCTGCACCATATTTTGTCTGCTCCAGTTCTGATAAATTCCCTTCAATGTATACTCTATATAAGTATACTTCTACATATGCAAATACTTATACATTTAAAATTGAAAAAAAAATACTTTTTATAATGTGCTAGAAAAAGTTTCATCCGCTAATAGAACTTTTGTGGTCATGGTTTCTTTAAATGATTCTGTATAGTAATGTATGAAAGAACAATACAAACATCTGTCTGGGACTCAGGATAACAAGAAGTGCCTGAATAAGGAGTTTCATGGCAGGATCACCAGGTAGTACTTTAATAAACCTGTAGATTTAAAAATATTGAAAATGATTCTTGAAGAAAAGTTTACATCTACAGTCGGGTTTACATCTGCTTTATCCAATGCTGAATCTTTGTGCTGCTTTATGTAAACGATTATTTATGTTATCATTATTGATCATTGGAAATATACTTAACTCTCATGCAGGGAATTTGGGAAATAAGTAACTCAAAAAAGTCAAACTGAGAAAGTGTAACGTTTTTTGAGGAAGTATTTGCCCAGCAGAGGGCAGACAAGTACAAACAAATGTATGGATGAATTTCAGTATCATTACCTCTTCTGCCGTAGTCCTTTAACGGTATTGCGGGATTTCATTTTTTCCCCGCTACATCTGTAATACAAAAATGTAACTTTCCTATGCTATAACTCATACTTTTGTTTCAGCAATGAGACTGACCTTCTCAGCTATTAACCATTTTTTGTAGTTTTCAATAAAGTAGGTAAGACTTAGAACTTATGTCAAGTTTCTTATTGTTGACTGTGTCCTTGTTGAAGAGATTTACCCTCATTTCCTTTCCCTGGCTGACACCAGGACAAGAAATGTGAAGGTGCGGGTGCCGTTGACAATACAACAGATGAGACAGATATGATATCCCTTCCATACTCATTTAAAGTGAAGTGCTCTTTTTTTCGGTCTCCTATCACTTCCCTTTATTGTCACACACTCACACTTCTCTTCCAATGGTGCAAATCTCTGCAACTCTGCAAGTTCAGCTAAGTACTTTGCTTGTGTTAAAAAATACATTTAAAGAGTAACTCCAGGGATTTTTTTAATTAACCCTAGGTGCTAGAATAACAAAGATATACTCACCCGAAGCTCCAAGCCAGTCAACTGTCATGGTGCTCCCTCCGGCCTGTCTACCCCTCCCTACAGGATTGCAATCTTCCTCAGCATCCTCACATCTATACAATGTGTATGGACATTAATGATTTACGGGACCTTAGACTGCTGCAGAGGTGGGGGAGAGATGTTGGAAGGACTGGTCTAAGAAGAAGCCAACTCAGAGCTTTGAGTGAGTATATCTTTGTATTTTTGGTACCTAGATACAAATGAGCAGTTAACCCTGGCAGAGGGAGCGTAGCCCCACTGCCAGGGTTAATAAAAAAACTCCTGGAGTTCTTCTTGAATGATGTCTTCTTACAGAATACAAAACTGCATTCACTTGTGTCGTCAATATCTGCCTGAAGTTTAGCTTTAAAGACCTCACAAATTATATACAGAACCTTTTAGAAACAAAGTTATAGAATTAAAAGATTTAAAAAAATGTAATTCTCAAATCCCTCAAAACCTCCAAAATGCCTGGCCCGGACGGATTTTCGGCTTTATACTACAAAAAGTACTCAGACACCCTAGCCCCCCACCTGACAGCCATGTAGCGTCTGATCACCATCTGTCGACGCCTTTCGCCCCTCCCATATTACGGGGCTTCGTCAGGACATGGGTTATGGGCTGGGAGGTTTGCTCTTAAGTACTCAAGTATGCATCCCATTTGCTTTCCGGTTCATTGGTTTTAGTTCCGGATTGCAGTTAACTTTTCTGAGAACATCAATCACATCATGTATAAGTTGAAAATGGAGTGTATATTCGGCTGTGTAGATAAACAAATAAGAATGTCTTTTATTTTATTTTTAATTTGTATCTAAGTAATGTCTGATATAGACTCACCAGCATTCCCTATCCTGGGTGGCACTTGTCAGGGTTGCCCTCTCTCACCCCTCCTTTTCCTCCTGGCCATCGAGCCCCTAGCACATCTAATCCGCACTAATCCCAACATCCATGGTATTGTCCGGGGAAATACTGACTACAAACTTCATATGTTCACAGACTATATCTTGCTCACCCTCTCCCAGCCCATTGTATCCCTTCCCAACCTGCTATCGCTTCTACACTCCTTTGCCCAAGTCTCAAACTTAACGGTTAACGATGATAAATCCTGCGCACTCAATATCTCCTTAACAACACAACAAGTTACTGCCCTAAGTCACAACTTCCACTTCAAATGGCACACCTCCCACATAAAATACCTGGGAGTTAACATTTCCCGCACTTACGACACTTTATACTCTACTAACTACCCCCCAATTTTTAAAACCCTACGGGACCTCCTGTCCTCCTGGACGCGACAAAGACTCTCCTGGATGGGCAAAATTAACACGGTCAAAATGACCATCCTCCCTAAACTGCTATACCTCTTTCGCACTCTGCCCATACCGATACCCCGAAAGGAACTCGAGCGGTTCCAGGCCCAGGTAGTCTCATTCGTCTGGAGCACAGGACGTCCCAGGGTGTCCAGATTCACTCTACATACACATAAACGAGACGGTGGCCTGGGCCTCCCCCACTTCCACAAATATTACCTGGCGGAACACATTGCCTCTATAGTCAGATTTTTCCAATCCCCCAATAATCCACTCTGGGTTGACCTAGAGGCACTTGCGTGTAGCCCTTATTCATTGTGCTCCCTACCCTGGTAACCTAATAGCCCTCTAGGCAACCAAAATAAAAAAGCTCATTCCAGTCAGACCCAGTGCCCCCCTCCCTCCCACTCCTCCTCCCCCCCTTCTTTTCTTTTTCTTTCCTCTTTGCCCCTTGCCACCTGGCACACTGCCTTCCGGATTCCCTTATTCGGACAACCCTCTTTCAGCGGGATCTACTCCCGGCTTGAAGAACCCGGAGCACTTATGACCTCAATTGAGACCCACTTGATAACAGACAATGTCTCTGTGTTCCTGAGTTACCTGTACTTCTGTATTGTTTACTGTATTATGTAACCTACCTAATGTCAAAACTCAATAAAAACTTTGAAACGAAAAAAAATTTAATTCAAAATTAATGCAGAGGATGAAATTTTGTTTTAATAATAACTAACAAGTACTTGTAGACAAGTAATAGTAACTATTTTAATACAAAAGTATGTAGCAATATTACTAGACATCTCCAGTTGGTGTTCCAATAAAATCCAGTTCTTCAGTCACCCCAACTGGTCACATTTTCAGGGTAACTATCATATGTGTTAGATACTTAAACATGAGGTGCATATTATTCTTCCTCATTCTATGTGGTTTTATAGCAGAGGAGTTCACAAGTTCGCAAGTTTACATCTACTTTAAATAACAATATAATAAAATAAAAAATACACTTTAATAATTAGATACAATAGAAACCAATATTTTTTTTTTAAAGGTGCAATATCTTTTTAATTCCTAATTTTACTTCTCTGTTTCTAAGAGTGTAGATAAAAGGGTTTAAAAGAGGTGCAATCACTGTATACATTAAAGATACTACTTGCTCTTGATCCATCCCATAACTTGATTTGGGTCTAAAATACATAAAAATTCCAGACCCATAAAATATTGTAACAACTATCAAGTGAGAGAAGCAGGTTGAAAAGGTCTTCCTCCTCCCAGAACTTGAATGCATTTGTAGAATTGTTGAGATGATCTGTAAGTAGGAGAACATTGTTAATATAAATGAGGCGATGACAACACAACTGACAACACCAAATATTGTGCATTCGTTGATCCAGGTATTTCGACATGACAGTTGTAGCAATGGTGGAACGTCACAGAAGAAATGGTTAATCTGATTAGATTTGCAAAATGGCAAAGAAAACGTAAGGGTTGTGTGTATTAATGCATTTACTGCCCCAATGGACCATGATCCAACAATGTGCTTAATGCAAGTTTCTCTGTTCATAATAACGGGATATAACAAAGGTCGGCAAATGGCGTTATATCGATCGTATGCCATGGCTGCCAACAAATAACACTCTGTTCCTCCGAAAGTCAAGGTACAGTACATCTGAGTGGCGCAGCCATAAAAAGAGATACGTTTTTGATCTGATAACAAGTTAGGTAACAGGTTTGGAACAGTACTTGTCACGTAAAGTATTTCCAAAAATGAGAAATTTCCAAGAAAAAAGTACATTGGAGAATGGAGATTTGGATTTAAGTTATATGTAATGATTATACACATATTTCCACCCACTGTAACAACATACATTAAAAGGAATAGGGGAAAAAGAAAAAATTGGCTTTCCCCTAACTTGGAAAATCCCAGAAGGATAAATTCTGTTACTACAGTGTTATTTGCATCCATTTTACTTTTCTGTAAATGATTCAAATGGCAATTAATAAATATATTGGCGGCTGATAAACAAAAACATATTTCTCAATAGCGGTTCACTTTTTTGTTTTTAAAATGTAAATTGTTGGCCTGCCTGTCGTTTAAATGAATCTAAAGCCAAAGTTTATTTCAGTTCAGAAAGAGTTTAGAATGGTTAGAACCTCACTATGGAGATTTTCTCTCTCTATTTCTGTTGCTGACCTTTGTCACGGGGACTGAAAGTAATGGGTGATCCAAAATTGTATAATGTCACCAAAACAAACAGTGTGAGGACAATAGGGGCACTTATTTAGGTGGCGATCCCCTCACTTTAAAGAGAGAAAAGAAGTAAAGAGAAATCTCCTTAATGGGGCAATTCACATATGAGTGTTTGAAACATGGATTTAGCTTTTTGAATTCTGTGCCACAAATCCAGGAAGTAAAGGGAGATATATTAATTTGTCCTTAGTAAAAATGGCCACTGTGAGAAGAATGGGGAAAAAAGAGAAATAAGGTATGCAAAGAAAAAAAAGGCGGCAATTAAGTATTTGTTTTTAGATTGTCATTATTAAGCATTTCTAAAAGTGTCTTTGTTGTTATTTTAACGATCTGGGTAAAGTTCCTCTTTAAGAAAAAGAAACTCTAGTTAAGCATACATAATAGGACTAGAAAACCTTCTAAGAAGACAGATTGCTATCGTAGATGTATAGAATTAACACTTTCCAAACAAATTAATCTATCAGTCTTGTCCCTTTGCCATGTGCTAGTCGTTATACAGCACTGCTGCCGAAGTCTCTCTAGTGCACCCTTAATAGTTTAATGAAGAACGGTTAAAGTGACACTAAACTCAGGAAGTATATCTTAGAAATGCATTCACGTACCTTAACTATTAACAAAAATGTATCTTATTTGTGTATCACTCGGCTGAAGATCCTCAAATCATCTCTGAATTGGTGCTGACACTGTCCTTCCTTCTGGAGGGGGGCTACTTGTGTTCCCCATGGTCCCTGTGTGTGTTGTAAAGTTGTCACCGCTTCAAGCTCACTTCCATAATGAACAACAATCTCATGTTTAGTTTACTGATTTGTATTGAGATCTTAGTCCATCACGGTAATTTTCACTTTATTTCACCTTGTTTACTGAGATAAGTGAAAATTTACTTTGAAAGTAAACATGTTCTACTCCTTTAGTAAATAAACCTTAATGAATGCTATGTGAATTCAGGTGTATATCACTCTATTCCCTTAGGTTTGAATTAATTGAAGTGTAAAAGCAAAACTCTTTTTTTTTTTTTTATATGGGGTGGATTACAACTTTTGTCAAAGCTTTTATTTTTGTCTGTGTCCCCCGTTGGGGAGATTTACCCCTTTTTTGACCATTGTCCATTTAAAATAAAATTTGAGCTTAATACAAATAAAACGTATGAGTCAGTAACATAAAAAAGTTGATATAAAGTCACCTAACGTTAAATATCCAGAAATATGCAAAGGTTGTGATGAGACTTCTCCAGTAAGGTTAAGCATACACAACGTGACTTCCACCATGGGGCCGAAATGGTAACTCACCAGATCCTTTGATCCCAAGGGGAAAGTTGCAGCCAATATGTGATTTGTGAGGTATACACCCTCATGATGGAATTGTCCATCTGTGATCTAAAGAACTCCTTTACACTAGTGGCAGGCAAGGATGTCTATGGGGTCTATTCACTAAGTTTCCGTAGGCCGAGTGAATGACTGACCGAACGCTGAAATCAGCCATACATCGCGTGGCTTCGCGTGGCTTCGGGCCGGCCGAACATGCTCAGCATGTTCGCCGACCCGAAGTGCAGAAGGAGTTTGACTCAGCCGATCCTCCGGCAGGCTACTCGCTGCTGTTCGGTCTATTCTTAAAGATGCCGAACAGCAGTGAGTGAATAGCCGAATGCCGCTGAGCGGCATTCGGCTGTTCTGCTCTGTCCCTCAGAGGGACCGAGCAGAATTGAAAAATAGTTTAAAAAGTAGAAAAAATCAATAGAAAACGATTGTGCGGAGCTAGCAATGACAGCTAGGTCCGCCCAACAGTTTTCTATTGGCCGGCAATTCTGCTGCCGTGAAAAAACAAAAACAAAAAAAAAACCTCTCCCGGGCGCTCTGGAAGTCTACTGCTCCCGGCTGCCAAGGAGGGAAACACTGCTTTTTCTTTTTTTTTCTTCATTCTGACACGGAGCCGTGTCAGAATAGAAAAAAAAAATGTTGGCCATAGGAATGCATTGCTAGATTCCTATTGGCTATTTCGATTTGCAATAGCCAATAGCAAACTAGCTATTGTACCCACCCTCTGCTGCTGTCAATCAGTAGTGGGGACCTGATGGAGAACTGCAGCAGAGGGCGGGTGCAATGCTAGTTTGCTATTGGCTATTGCAAATTGAAATAGCCAATAGGAATCTAGCAATGCATTCCAATGGGCAAAACATTTTTTCTTATATTCTGACATGGCTCCATGTCAGAATAGAAAAAAAAATTGAAAGAAAAAAAAATTGAAATAAATACACTAAGGGGTCTATTCACGAAGCTGCCGAAGGATCTGGCCGTAGCTTCGGCCGATACTTCGGCTAGCTTCGGCCCCAGGATCCCTTCGGTTCAGTAGAACTGAAGGGGTGCTGTACGGGCTATTCATAATAGCCCGTACAGCTCCCGATCATGGCCGAGCCGAACGCATATGCATCGGCTCGGCTGAGCCGCGCTGAAAGCCAAAGCTGGCCGTGCTATTACTATTGGCTATTGCAAATTGACATCGCTCGTGTCAGAATAAAGAAAAAGAAACACACAGCAGTGTTTCTCTCCTGGGCGGCCAGGAGCGGGAGACTCCTGAGCGCCCGGGAGAGTTTGCTGTCTGGAGATCAGTGTCCCTGGTTAGCTGGTAACCAGGGATGCTGATATCTCTCCAAGTGGCCGGAGCCAGCCGTAAGATCACGGCTGGCTCCTTCCAGCTGTCAGAAGCAGGCTGTCGGCAGGCCAATGGCCAGCCGCTCGGCCAGCTTCAGCTTTCAGCGCGGCTCAGCCGAGCCGATGCATATGCGTTCGGCTCGACTGAGCAGCTCGGCCAAGTTCGGGGGCTGTACGGGCTACAGTGAATAGCCTGTACAGCAGCCCTTCGGTTCTTGTGAACCAAAGGGGTCCTGGGGCCAAAGCTAGCCGAAGGATCGGCCAAAGCTACGGCTAGATCCTTTGGCTGTTTCGTGAATAGATCCCTATGTTTACATGAAGTCACTTCAACATTCTGGTGGAATATTGATTGATGGTATCATGAAAGAAAAAAAAAAGCTTAGATAGTGAAAAGATTATTCGAGCTGTATATTTTGTTTAGACAAATAAAGCCACAATCCATAAGAATGCTGTTACCTCAACAGAAATGCAGCAAGTAACACAGCCTATAGCACAGAGCGTAACAAAAAGATCTGGTGAGTTACTCTTTCAACATGTATGGTGCAAGTCCCGCAGTGTATGTTTTTATCTCACTGGTGGAGTCTCTTCACAAGCTATGCATACTACTCAATATTTGCCTCTGACCATTGGTACTGAGACAGAAAGTGAGGGGAAAATCCAAATTTTAGAGTTGTTACCACAACAAAAAGTGAGGATAAATCTTCCAATGGTGGACATCTTTCTAAGAAGTAGATGTAGGAATCTACTGAGAATGTCTAAACAAACTAGGAAAAATCATTCCTTCAAAACTGAGGGAGATAGAATTCATAATTATTAATGAGATGCTCAAATCTCATTCCCGTCACCATGAAGTCAACCGAGTAGTCATTGCACAAGAAAGCTTCATACTTAGGAGTGAGGGTGCATTTGTTCCAGTAGAACCAGGTGCTCCTAGATCTGGCTTATGAATCTTTGCTTAATGTGATCAGGTCATCTAACTTCTTAATTTATTAATTTTAATAGTCTTCTCCACTATGTGTTTACATGAGCAATTAAATAAGAGACAAGAGCAATCGCATAATGGAACTTGAAATGTAACTATGATATGTATGCTTATAAAATGAAATAAAGAGATATTAAACAAAATGAGAAGCAAAAAAAAAACTTCTTCATTTCATTTATTTTGGTTAACCATTGATTGTCCCCTGACCCTATTGGAATAAAGTTGTAGCTGGACTGTTTTAATTGGTGTGGCGTTTCAATTTCTATATCTACTGTGTCCACTGTTAATCCAAGGTCACTGTGGAGACCCTATGGCCAGTGAAAGCTGCCTATCCATTAGCCAGATTACACATATTCCCAGCACTTAACCACTACTGGATGAAAAACACAGAAAAAACACAGAATAATCACACAGGTGCAGCACTCTCTTTCCACTTCCAAAAATGTTCTAAGAAGGGAATTCCCCCAGTATGGGAGGCTTTCACTAACCTGCTGTTGCATGTCCCTACATGAATTTGAGAGATATCTCCCAAGAGGTACACAGACAGCAAAATATAACCTTACAGTGATTTTAACACTTACCTCCTCTAATCGAAAAAACCCCCAAAAAACAGTTTTGGCTATATATGTACTTTAAAGACATCAACGAACAAAAAAGAGGGAACAAAAAGACACATTCATTAACCACCCTATTTAATTACTGCACAGTTATTTGTACTAACCAAATCCAATCTGGATTCTAGAATTACAATTCTAAGAAGATCTGACTGGCTACTGTAGGCAGCTATGTTCCTCTTGTTAGTGTTGAAAAGAGAGAATAGCAAATAAATAATTTCCTGGAACTATAAAGGACATTAACATTTGCAGAGGTGGACATTTGATCATTCTGGTTTTATATCCAGGAAAGGTTAATGGAGATATTTGAAAATACATAGAAAGCAGAAGTTGCCAACAGGTACTCTAGTTGTTTTTTTTCTGATTTGCAACGAATTTCTTCCTTATCATGAATGGTTATTTTCTGCTGTACTTTGCAGAACAAGACAAGTATACAGATAGCTTACACAGATGGTTATATAATGAAAAGTGAGC